TTCTTTGCGTGAACATTTGGGCGGCATTATGCAAATCTTCCCACATCGTGACGTAGACATTGTGGGGGCGTGTTAGAACGAGCCGTTTTAGGTAGGCGTGGTTGACTCTTAACCTTTATAAAGAATATCTCTACTTTAGTCTTTAGTCTTTGCAACTTTACAGATCTTCTTTATGCACCAAGAGCTTATAACACTCCAAAGAGAACTTGAAAACCTGTCCTGGAGTACTCCCAGCCCTTCACATTTTGTATGTCTCCCTCATCTATCACACCTGATTCAACTCATCAGCTCATTAGCGGAGACTGCAAGACCTGAAGTGGGTGTGTCAGATATAGGGAGACATACAAAATGTGTACTGCTGGGGGTACTTCATGGAGAGGTTAGAAAACCACTGTCTTAGGCCTTTATGGCCTATACAGTAACACCTATAAAAAAAAAAACACCTCAGGTTTATGCAGAGGCTCAAACTGAGCAGAAATATGCAATTTGGTATATATTGTTAATTATATTGCAAAAGGTAAGATGTAATTCTGATAGCTTGTAAATCAATGCTGAGGTCTTCATAATAGTATAGCACAGGGGGTTTCAACCTTTTAGGACATGCGCACCCCCCCCCCAGGTTGGTCTAATTTCACTCGCGCCCCGCCAACATCCAACATCCCCCCCATTAAAGCTATTAAAGCAGCGAACAATTTTTATTTTGCTCTTTTTTGATTAACATTATTTACATAAGAAATGCACGGATCCGTTATACTGATGTACATTTGATATTTTCTTTACTGTTTACATTCACTTAAAACAACCGACTGTGCTTACAAGGATACTTATCAAGACAGCCACTGGTATTCACCTGCTGTCTGAGAAGGCTATCTGTTTGTGTACTTCAGGTGTGTGAGCGGTGCGCATAGAAACGTTCCAGCGGGGAGTGAGACAGGGAGAAGAACAGCGGGCAGTGCGCATTCTCGCTCGTGGCGAACAGATCCACCTCCGCTCTCCCGTAGCGGGTCCAAATCATCCGAACCGACTCGGGGTTCAACCTCCACTCTCCTTGAGGAATCCCCTTCCTCGAAAGCATGTCCGCCCCGCGGTTCAGGAGACCGGGGATGTGCGCTGCTCTGATGAAGAGAAAGTGAAGGTCCGCCCATAACAGGAGATTTGCTGCTTGCTTGTACAAAGCCCTGGAACGTACGCCTCGGTGATTTATGTACGAGACCACAGACATGTTGTCGGTGCGAATCAGTACCTGTCGCTGTTCCAGCTGCGGCCGAAAATCCTTTAGAGCTAAGAACACTGCTTCCAGCTCCAAGCGGTTTATGTGCCACCGGCTCTGGGGTTCTGACTACAGCCCCGAAGCCGGCATGCCCTCGCACACTGCTCCCCAGCCGCGAGTCGATGCGTCCGTCGTGACCACAACGCGCGACGTCACCAAGCCCAGGGGAACCCCCCGGCTGAAGAGATCTGGGTTGCGCCACGGCCTCAGAGCTTCGATGCAGCCGCGGGAGACCGCGATGCGCAAACGGCCCAAAGTCCACGCCGTCCAAGGGACTCGAGATTTCAACCATAATTGCAGGGGGCGCATGTGTAGTAAGCCCAGATGACATACCGCTGCAGCAGACGCCATGAGTCCCAGCAGCCTCTGAAATTCCTTCAAGAAAACAGATTTGCCCAGTCTGAAATGGCGCAGGGAAGACAAAATGGCCGCCGAGCGCTCCCGAGAGAGGCGGGCTCGCATCTCCACTGAGTCGAAGCACACTCCCAGATACGTTATAGACTGACTCGGGGCGAGAATGCTCTTCTGCAAGTTGACACATAGCCCTAGGGACTCCCAAGTGAAGAAGCAGCGTGTCTATATGGCTGACTAGCGTGTCCCGGGACTGAGCTAAAATCAGCCAATCGTCCAGATAGTTGAGAACGCGCATCCCGCTCGCTCTGAGGGGGGAAAGTGCTGCATCCATGCACTTTGAGAAAGTGCGTGGGGCCAAAGCCAGCCCGAACGGGAGAACAGAGTATTGGTACGCTGTGCCCTCGAAAGCAAACCTCAGAAAGCGTCTGTGATGCGGTGCTATCTGAATGTGAAAGTATGCGTCCTTTAAATCCACGGACGCAAACCAGTCCCCGGGGCGAATTTGCGCCAGGATTTGTTTCAGCGTTATCATCCTGAATGGACGCTTGCAAAGCGCTCTGTTGATGGGCCTGAGATCTAGAATCGGGCGGAGTCCCCCGTCTCTTTTGGGTACCACGAAATAGCGGCTGTAAAACCCGCTCTCCAGCTCGCTGGGAGGGACTAATTCTATCGCTTCTTTTTCGAGCAGACTGCATACCTCTTGTCTCAGAACCAGGGCGTTTAGAGGCTATGTTAGAGACTGCACCATGCCATTGAAACGGGGTGGTGTGCATCTGAATTGAAGGGTATACCCACGCTCTATCACACCGAGTAGCCAGCGCGAGATTCCCGGAATAACTTCCCACGCGCTCAGGAACTGACATAGCGGCTTTAGCGGCTTGGTCGTTGGATGCGCCGGTGAGTGTGTGGGCGGCGGCTCTGCACTGCTCTGAGGCGGGGCGAGCGGCACCGTATTGACTGAGTGAGGAGGAAATAGCTCTTTTTGTGAGAATGTATGCATTTTTATTGAATGAACATCCAACACACAAACATTTGAAACCATGAACTTGTGGCGCTTGGGAGCCGGCCGCTTGCGCACTCTCCTCCTCTTTTCAGACCGTCAGGATGACTGCTTAGCAGCCGGCGGCGGGCGAGAGTCACGTCGCGGGCTCCTCCGCTGGCCGTGGCGTTTCCTCCCGGGACCCCACGCCTTCCTCCGGAAATCCGGCTCCTGGCGAGGAGCAGTAACGTTAGCCGTCACCGCTGCGGTCGCTGGCCTGGGGTTATCCCTCCGCTGGGAAGAGCCAGGTGCCGACGAGGATCTGGATCTCGCCGTCTGCTGCTGGAAAGCGCGCCTCGGCATCACGTGACTCGTGGCTTTGGCGCGTTTTTTAAGCCTCCGCGAAGCGCTCGGTAATGGACTCCACGGTGTCACCAAAAAGGCCGGAGGGAGTCACCGGAGCATTCAACAGCACTTTACGGTCAGCATCCTTGAGGCCAGCTAGGTTTAACCAAAGGTGCCTCTGAAGGACGACCAGCGCAGAAGCTGCCTCGCCATCAGACGCATACGCTTTATTGGCAAGGTGGGCGGTAGTCCTGCACAGCTTTGAGGGGAGGCTGATGTCTGAGCCTAGGGTCTTGACGGTCTCCTCAACTGGGGGAGAGCGCACGTACCCGTGGGCCTCCGCCCCATCCACGTGGGAAAAAATGGCCTGTGTGGCAGAGTGGACGCGCGCTGATTGGGGCGCAGACCATGTTTTTACCAGCTGCTCATGTACGTCGGGGAAAAAGGGGACCGACGTCCTCGAGTCAGCTTTCCGGGTGGACCTGAAATACCAGGAGTCAAGCTTACTCCTGGCAGGCTCCTCTGGAGGACTCCAGGTAAGCTCCAACTCCTGGACAGCCCTTGACAGAACCCTCATGAGCTCCTCCTGGAGGTCTGGGGGCCCCATGCTGTCCGGCTGATCGGACTCCGATCCCGCCCAATCCTCCCTCTCCGAGGCCGAGATGGACATCGAGTCATCCCCCTCCTCCTGGCTAAAGGATACAAACTCCGCGATGTTGGAAGGAGGGCGGAAGCAGTCCTCGGGGAGTGAGACCGGGGAACGGGGCGACCGTTGGGGTTGGTGGAGCGACAAGACGACGCTCCCGTCACCGGGAGGGCCCACCAGCGGCACGCTGGAGGCAGTGGGCCTCATCCCGAATAGGCCGCGAGCCACATCGCGGCGGGTCCGGAGTACGCGGGCCGGAAGGTCCGCGCAATGCCCGCAGTTGGACTCGTCCAGCGCCGCCTCGGCGTGGGCCAGGCCCAGGCAGGCGACGCAGTAGTCGTGCTGATCCGGCGGCTCTATCGGTCCCGCGCAGATCTTGCAGATTGTTGCCATAGTGAATTCAACAGGTGAAGTAGAAGATTCTGACGTAATTGTCGCGTGCACCGCATTTTATACTGCCTCTCGAGCTCATCAGTATTTGCATGCGATTTGCATACTTCGCGTCAATTGGCCAGTAATTTGGAGTGGCGGGAGCCAATAGGACTTCAGGAAAGGTTGGAAGGGAAGGAGTTCCCATAACGGACAAATATCTCCGTGATGTCTCGTGAAAGCTCGAGAGGGAACCGCGGACTTAGCAACACTGAGCGTGACTGATACTCGAGCCAACTCTGCTCTAACTGTCGACTAGCAGTGGGAGTCAGATTGCCCCCTAGTGGATGGCTAAAGATTTGTTAACTCGTATTCATAAATTCTCAAGGGAACGTCTCTGAATTAAATGATGCTCGCGCCCCCCTTGACAGGTGCCCCACAGGTTGAAAACCCCTGGATAGCAGACTGCTAAAAAATTTATATAAATATAAGCTTTTACTCTATATCTCCAAGTAATATGTCTTAGTAAGATGACTTGGTAAATGTTCATCTTGAAATATTACAAACAATATAAAAGTTATGCTTATGTTTACTTTATAAAATTATTAAAGATTTCACAGCAAAAAGATGTGTGTACCACAACCTGAAGGTGGCCATTTTTAGAATTATACTAAAAGGCCTTTTACTTAGTACAAAAAAAAAAAAGTCTGTCTATCAAGAACAATCAATCAGAGGGCAGAAGGCATGTAGTAGTTTGTGTGCAAAAGTCTTTCAGCAAAGCTTTATGTTGATAATCTATCAAATATGATACTGTATATTTTATAGGGTTAATCACTACTGCTGCCTGATATTCTTTATCTTATTTCTGTTTGATGATATCAAAAATGATTTCATATTCTTATCTACAGGAAATATTTATGACTTAGACTTAGATGATGTGCCCTGTGTAGTTGTAGCTCTTTTGTCCTTGACATAGATTGACATGTCACTACTTGTTACTTTAACAAGAGTTCAGTATAAGCTGGAGAGGGTATTTAAAAAGACATTGATTGTTGTTGTTTTTTTTTGTTGTTTTTTTTTTCAGGTGGATTGCCAAATCCCAAAGGAATGCTTGCTGAGAAACTCCCTGATTGGCTGCTAAAGTACACCGAGAAAATATCGGCTCTTGGAGCTTTTGCTGGAAAGACAGCTAATCATGTGCTTGTAAATGAATACAAGCCTGGGGAGGGAATTATGGTAAAGAGAGAGTTAACCTTTTAATTCCCTGTAGTTATAATTTTTAACCCACCTTTTTCTTTTCTTTTTCATTTTATCCTTCTTTCCCTCTTTCTCAGCCTCATGAGGATGGACCACTGTATCACCCCACAGTAACAACTATCAGTCTGGGTTCTCATACACTTCTAGATTTCTACAAGCCTGTTTGTCAGACTCAGGTAGCAGCAGGCAAACAATCAAACTATCAAACACAAGCGCATCAGTCTTTTAACATTCTCCTCCTCTCCCTGCAGTCTGAAACTCCTCAAACAGAAGAAAGCCGCTACATGCTATCATTGTTGGTACAACGAAGAAGTCTGCTGATTCTGCAGGATGACATGTACAAATTTTATCTGCATGGTATTCATGGAGTTTGTGAGGATATTTTGTCAGAGCATGTGGTGAATCTCTCATCAACAGGGGCTCAGGTTTGCAACACGCTGCTCCGCAGCACCAGAGTCTCCCTTACCATTCGCCATGTTCCCAAAGTCATCCGGACCAATCTGTTGCTTGGCAAGAAGTGACACATTCACAGACTTGCTTGAACTTTGAACCAGACAAACAGGTTATACATGTTTACACCCGCAATGCAAAGTGTGGAAATGCAATATACAAGTGTCTACAATATATTATTGTATATGCAGAGCATTAGTGTCTGTAAGGGTATCTTAATATAGATACCTTACATGGTGGCATGTATGCAGCAGCCTTTGAAATATTTGTCCACTCAAAGCTGAAAGGTCTACAGGGTTGTCGATTGTACAAGCAGATCTGCATTGATAAACAAATGGCTTTTTTTGCAACATAAATAAATTGCTGTATTTATAGACTGCTGTATTGTGTGTGTTTTTTTTTTTTTTTACACTTTTGTATAATCCTGTGCCAGTCTGACATGCAAACTACAACTCGTCGTTCAGGTGTTAAGTCTTCCCCTCCTAAAATTCTTGGAAATATGGGCTGGTTTTTCGCTACGATGTTTGCGTATCGTTCTTATGGGGGTTGGTGTTTTCACTGGCATTACGCCGTTTGCGTAACTTATTTTGGAATCCGCTTTTCTTGTCATATGCGCAACTGCCGTGTTACGGACGACAGTTCACATTACCGTCCGCTGCTAACTGGTGAGTTTAATCTTTCTGCGCCCTTAACAGCGATATAAAAATATCTTTACACGTGTAGTAGCGGAAATAGTGTCCGGTAAATTCATATTATGTGGGAATTTTACTTGTTTATTGCGGAGTCATGACGGGTAGCTTGTTTAGCGTGCTAGCATGTTTTACTCGCATCCAAATTTAGTTGAGCATCTAATACGTTCATGCTTGATTGTCCAGATTATTATTTAAATGCATTAAATTATTTAAAGAGAACTAACAAATGCTGTTATCAGGAGAAGATTTCTGCTGACAAAACGGATAGTCGGCAAGATAATTTACGCCGTATCGTTCGTATTTAAAGCGATCTAAAGAGTTGAAAACGCCCCGAATTACCCCTAAACTTCCATTCTGTTGCAAACGGTTGTTTACGAGTATTTAAATGCCAGTTTATACAGGTTTCGCTTTGAATTTATTATTATTTTTTTTTTGCGGTTTAATTAGTGTGGGTGGTGGATGGATGGAGGACATACTTGTAGTAACGTTAGGTGTGTCCACATTGTGTCAACAGACACTGAGATGATTGACATTCACAAACCCCCTTGTGCTGACATGTTTGTATTAAACCTTTCAGCAAACGTGAAAATTAAAATTTTGTGTTGTAAAGAAAGCAATTTTTTTCAGTAAACCACTGTTTAATAAAAAATCGTATTAATAAACGTAAACCTTTTGAGTATTACTGTTGCCTCTAGTAATTCTGTGTCTGATTTATAATTTCCAAACAATTTTTGGTTAATTTTAAGCCAGCTATATTCATTTTCAATCAATATTTGAGTTAATTAAAACAACCCAGCATGTTGGGTCAAACATTTAACCCAACCAGCTGGGTTTGTCCATGTTTGACCCAGCGTTGGGTTGCCAAAATAACCCAAATTGAGTTGTTTTAACCCAGCATTTTTTAGAGTGTACCGAAACATCATGTTTGTGTACCGCTACAACCCTAGTATACTTATATGTGTGTGTTGTTTAACAATTCTAGCTCTCTTCTTCCTTTTAAGAAGTGACTGAACCATTTGTGCAACAAGATGTTTCTAGCAAAGAAACTTATCGGAGGCATTATTGATGTGGTCAGGTGAGGCAATATTTGACTATAGATATTCTTCTGTACCTAAGCAAGTTTATATTATACTGCCATTTTAATTCATATGAGTGTTTTGTGGGATTGTAGTTCATTGCTTCATTAAATATATTAAAGCTTGTTGGTTTGGTTCATGGTTTGTATTGAAGGATTGTTTAAAAACAGTATTGAAGAATTGTTTAAAATCCCTGTAATCCCTACAAAATGCATGGGAACCAAGGCCCTTTTAAAAGTAAACACTCAGTGTTGCATTGAGCCCCATTTTGGCCATTTTGCTATAATTTCAGGTGCAGTTCATGGAGTACTTTTCCATGTGAATGTGTGTGATTATGCGTTTGTCCCTTTGGGACTCATTTGAGAAGGAATATGTTCATGCACAGCTTCAAGGGAGAAAAAGCATAATTATGCCACCTTTGCTTTTTTCCACAGCAATATCGACCCCGGCCAGTTTGTGCCTTCAGATCCTGTGAGTAACAGCTCACATTGTGATGTTATACATAAGCGTGTCTAATGCTTGTTGTCAGTCAGTTTCAAAGAAGAGCCAGTGGAAAGAAACCTGCAGTGCTCGTATAGTGCCCATATCTCTGATGTGTAATATATGGGGCCACAATTGTGGTACTCAATAATCATTTGGGAAATTAATTTAATCAGTTTAAATTTTTATCAATTTTTTATCAAAAAAATAACTGAGAAATGAATTTAAAAATCAATAATCAAGCATTGAATTATCACAATGTAAATAAATAGATTAATAATCCAGTAAAAAATGATCTTTTCATAAAAATGTAGATAAATAATTGAAAATACATGTTATATTAAAATACATATTACCATTAGATATACAAATATACCAATTACTGATAGAAATAATGATTTAACAGTGAAATGGTTTGTCGATAAACCGATAATAGGGCAATAGACAAATTGAGAAAATGCATTTATAGCTGATCATGCATTTTTGATTACTTTGTAGTCACATATGAAATATAGCTATTGTTTATTTTATTTATTTCTATATTAGTAAATACTACATTTAATATTGTGTCTGTAATTTTATTTTATTTATCTACATTTTTTATACATTGTTTAAATGTTTAATTGAATAAAAATCTGTAGTAAAGAAAAACTATTTATGCACATGTTAATTGCTCATTCTCTGTTGATTTATTTATTTATTAATTGATGTCAACTTCTTAAAATATTATGGAGTGTCACATATTTTTTTGCCCCTTAAAATTATATAGCTGTATGTTCTTGCCAAAATCTGGGCTAGAGAAACATCTAGAGTTATCTAATTTAATACTTTTATTATGTTTCAGTAAATAAAGAAAACTGCTAAATATTCACGAAAGAAATGTCTGTATCATAAAGATACTGTAGAGTAAAGCACTTTCTGTCCATCACGTCAGCTAGAGAGTCACTGGATTGCTTAGTCAAAATATGAGTGATTGAGAGAGTTCTTGCGACATTAAGAATATTTGCATTAGGGATGTGCTTATAAAGTCAGTGGATTTTGTTTGTGTGGAGAGAAAATGAAATGAGTGCATTTGAGATGCTGATACTATTGCCATCTCGTCCCCAGCCCCCACCCCGCAGACCGCTGGCTTATGCTGAGGCCAATGAGTCTGAGGAAGAGAAGCAGTTCCGCAGAGTGTTCCAGCAGCTCGCTGGCGATGTTAGTATTTGACGAACAAGTATTCATATATACACAAATACGTACAATAAACACTGGATAATCATACACATTGCCTTTGGTTTCAGGACATGGAAGTAAGCCCAAATGAGCTGATGAATATCCTCAACAAAATCATTTCCAAACGTGAGTGGTATATGTGTGTATGTATGTGTAGCCTTAAGTCTGTTGCTATATGACGCTGATTCTCTCTGCTCTGTATGTTATTGCAGATGGTGATCTGAAGACAGATGGCTTTACCATCGAGTCATGTAGAAGTATGGTGGCTGTCATGGATGTATCCTCCCTCATTTGATCTGAACACTTGCTCTAATACAAACCAACAAGATGGAGTTTGCAGTTTTTAGTCATTTTAGTAGAAAATTTATTAAAACAATTCTGGTGAATACGAAAGTCGATAGCCGATAACCTGTAAATGGCTGTACAATTTAAATAAAAGTAAAACATAAAATTTTTAGTCATTTTAGATCAAAGGGGCCAACGTCCTACAGAGGACTACCTGGAAGTTTCCGGTCAGTCTGAAGACCTTGATTAGCCGGTGCTAGTATGTTTAATTCAATGAACTCTGCAGGGCAGTGGTCCCCAGGAACAGGTTTGGACACTCCTATTTTAGATGCTACAAGTGAATTTAGGCATCACAATATTATAATGTAATATAATTTTGATTGATTGTTAGGTGACGTCAAATGTAATATAAATGTGAAAATAACCAATGAATATCCTAAATCCATATCCAGTAGCATAAATTAAAGTCTTTGAGGCTGATGTTGAGATTGTTTGATGGTGTTTGGTCTTGACGCTGTGCTCCAGAGTGACAGCACAGGTAAACTGGGATTTCATGAGTTTAAACATATCTGGAACAACATCAAGAAATGGCAGGTGAGTAGATGTAACAACTGGAAGATTTGCCTTTGTGTGATTTTCAACTGGAGTTTTGATTTACAAAGTTGTGTATTTGTTAGTAGTTTTGATCTATTCATATTGCTGATTGAAGATTTACATGTTCTGGTATAACTGTACAGCATAAACTCTGTATTAGGACTGTATTAGGATTAATGACTGAAACAGTGAGACCATTTAAAAAAAAAAAAAACATCAAGATAACCCAGTTAACATAATCTGTCTGTTTTATAGGGAGTTTATAAAAGTTATGACAGGGATCGCTCAGGAACTATCGGAGCAGATGAGCTTCCAGCTGCCTTCAGAGCTGCAGGTAAACACCCATTGTGGATCACGTTATGACCATCTGTAATGGCAACATTAATAAATCTCAATTAATGCATTCTATAGGGGATCGGCATGTATATTTGTGACCCTGGACCACAAAACCAGTCATAAGGGTCAATTTTTCAAAATTTAGATTTATAAATCCACGGAAAGCTGAATAAATAAGCTTTCCATTAATGTATGGTTTGTTAAGATAAGACAATATTTGGTCGAGATATGACTATTTGAAAATCTGGAATGTGAGGGTGCAAAAAAATCAAAATATTTAGAAAATCGCCTTTAAAGTTGTCCACATGAAGTTCTTCGCTATGCATATTACTAACCAAAAATTAAGTTTTAATATATTTACAGTAGTAAATTTACAAAGTATCTTCATGGAACATTATCTTTTACTTAATATCCTAATGATTTTTGGCATAAAAGAAGAATCTATAATTTTGGCCCATACAATGTATTTTTGGCTATTGCTACAAATATACCCCAGCAACTTGAGACTGGTTTTGTGGTCCAGGGTCACATTTAAGATATAAAGGTCATATTAGGATAGCATGAAAATTGTTTGGTGAAAAAAAAAATCTTGGACAATATTAGTCCTATGCTGAGTCCAGTGGGAACTGGTCTCTGAACAATGCTGGTCATTCACTGTTGACAAGATGGACTTTTAATATAACTTGGCTGTCTATGCTGTAGAAGGGCGTTTTTTTTTTAAATTGATGCCACATGACTTTCTTTTGCCGAAAAGGTAGAGAAACTACAACACCCTCAATGCACGATCCGACTGTGGTGATACAAAAATGTAGTTTTAACAATAGTCCCGGAACTGTCGAAGGTCTGCACACTTTAGCTGACAAATAAACCAGGAGATCTGGGTATAAGTAACATGGAAAAAGAGTACACATTATTCGTTGCTTCTACTATGACATTATAATAATACAAAGCAGGTTGACACTTGGCAAACTTGTCCTTTAATATACATGCATTGTGGTGATTACATCTGAACTGTGTGTTCATCCTCTAAATCGTATTCTGTCTCATGTGTTTCTACAGGTTTTCCTTTGAATGATCAGCTCTTTCAGATGATTATTCGCCGGTATAGCGATGAGAATGGAAACATGGACTTTGACAATTACATTGGCTGCCTTGTGAGACTTGATGCCATGTGCCGTAAGTTGATTCTAGAAAGATTTAATAAAGGAAAATAATATACATAGCCTATATTTTTGTTTATAGTTTTAGCAGAGTGAATTGGTTTCTTTCTGGAGTACATGTAAATGTTTACACTGACTTAATCTTGTTTTCCTTTATCTAAAAGATGGCTTGTTTAGTAGACATTTAATAAAATGACAGCTGCAAGGCCAACTTAATGTTCACTCTTATGGTATGCAGGCACTTTATATAAGTTTTGGGGCCTTTAGTCAATGTCTGCTTTGAAGCCATGTGCTAGCGTACTGCTCGAGTTGGATGATGACTCAGCTTGCACACACAGGCACTACAAGTGTTTGTCTAATAAAATGCTTTCTAAAATGGGAATTCCCCCTCCCCCAATGCCACGTCTCTGACTAGCAATAGCAAGTATCAAAACTGTCTAGTGTAACCTAAAGGCTATTGGAACATGTCAAAACAAGAAAGAAAACATTGTCAGTCCATTTTCATGCATCTTTAAGGGAGCTGTTGAGGAATTGAGGGTGTTTTTTTTTTTAAACCAAATTTACTCAATTCAATTACTTCTTGCTCCCCCTGCAGGCTTTGGGTAATTTCAGCCATTTTGTTCATTCATTGAATATATATTAAAGGGGTCATATGACGTTGCTAAAAAGAACATTATTTTGTGTATTTGGTGTAATGAAATGTGTTTATGCGGTTTAAGGTTAAAAAACACATTATTTTACACATACTGTACATTATTGTTTCTCCTCTATGCCCCGCCTTTCTGAAACGCGTCGATTTTTACAAAGCTCATCGGTCTGAAAAGC